TTTTATATACAAAACAAAATGGATAAATAATAATTTTTATAAAATACGATATTAACCATGCTAAGAGGCTTTAAAGGAAATGAAGATTGATGACAGTTGAAGCATGTAATTATTTCAATACTTTTGTAACCTGGTTGGCAATCTTTATTAAAAATGAATATGCTCTAACATTTAGATAAGAAATTACATTCCTAGATTTAGCAAAATATAAAATTATTCATTTGTTCACTGAAAGATATATACGAGAAAGTTCTTTCCACATCATGTGCCCCTAAATATAACCAAAGGTATAATTGCTGTTGTACATCTTCTTTTCATAGGTGGAATGATACGTGAAAAGCATAAATGTTAGACAACAGAAACCAGTCACAAATAATATTAATTACATGTTGCTTATTACCCTAATTTCAAAAGCAGGCAACCGTAAGGCATAATTCATTAGTATCTGAGAGCATCCTTACTGGAAAGGGTCAGTCACAGCAGCTAGGGGGCATCTTCAAAATTGAATGTAACTTTAAATATAAAGTGTCTTCAGTGTGTATTACACAAAAGGAATAGATAATTTTTAAGAAAGTGAGATCAGCCCAGTAGAAGAATCACATAGAATTTAATAGCTTTGTAATAATTTATGCTGCTATTTCTTATATTTTCCCCCATGGCCAAAATTCTCATTTACCTGAATTCTGCTTAATTGCAACAGAGGGACTGACTCCCTAAGGTCAGAATTTCTAACACATTTGGTTCTAATGTCACTAGTCTACAAGGGTTAAAAGGCAGATTATAGGCAAACGTGACTTACAAAATAAGCAGAGTCAGATTTGTGGTGAGGGTTAGATACACCTAAGGTTCAGAGCTGCAAGGAACTACAGAAGTGAAAGGTGAAGCCAGCCTAAGAAGTGAGGTACCCAGAAGCCCAAGACACATCTTCCATTAGTATGAGCAGTCAGTATTCTAAAAACGGTAACTTTACTTTTATTTCTTATATTTTTCAAAGTACTGCTTTGTGAACTGTAATGATAGTAAAAGCATTTGTTTCACAGTTAGAGGCTATAAGCAATGCAGGAGAGAGGCACAACAGGGATTGGGAATTAAAATTACTACTGTCAATAAAAAAAATTAATTGGGAATTAAAATTACTACTGTCAATAAAAAAACTAATTTACAATAAATTAAACCAAAGTCATCTTAAACTTGAACATCATGGGTGATATTAAGATTGGATTGATTATTAGCTTCATCCATCAGGATAGCCAAGTGAATGGCACGAGAAGCTGCCATTCATGCTAAAGAATGAACTGACATTGTCCTCAAAACCAAAGGAGTTTTCATAAGAAACCAACTTATAGGTTTGAGAAATGATTTAAATAATCAAGAAACTGGATTCCTCACCACATAGTCAGAATTCTATATGTATTAGCTATAATCTGCAAAGAATGGCCGCTGGGGATTAGGGAGTCTACATTTTTTATTTGCACTGCTTACCCACAATGAACCTTGCAAATGCTCAATGAGATTGTTATCACTCTAGTTAGCCTGCAAAAAGAAAAACAATGAAAAGACAGGCTACTAGGCGCCTTCTACCCATGGCACCTTACACATAAAGTCCTTTTCTGCTTAAAACTGAAAGGCTACATTTTTTATGAATGTAAGCATAAGAACATTTTTGAATAATTGATATCAACTATTTGTTTAAAATAGCTATAAATATTATTTTCTAAGTAAACCTCCAAACATATCTACTCGGTCTTATAAACTTTCTCAGAATAATTAAGGCCATTTGGAAAGTTTTCTCAGGAAATACCACTGAATTTAGAAAAATTTTTAAATTTCTTTTTGCTGTGTCCTCCTTAAAATTAGTAATGAATCTTATACTTTAAAAATGTAGAAGGCATGCTGTTCAAGAATGAAATGCCACCATGGGTGAAATCCGATTTTATGGTTTGCTCCACTTTAAATACCATTTCCAGATGTTCTCTATTGTCCAAAGACCATCCATGAAGGCTAAAAGTCTTACACCTTTCTTTTCATGAAATATTAACTCTCATGTTTATCTCAGTTAAATACAAAATGAATGCTTATTGGTACATGCAAGAGAACGACCTGTTTATTACTGTGATCTGGTAACTCAAATTATTCTTAGAATGTTTATCTCCTCAATTTATCAAATAGTTCTGCTTATATCCATTATGTAATTCATGAACCACAAGGAAACTGGTAACCAAAACATTTTTTGCCATTGTGGGATAGTAATCAATCTGAAATTTTTCATGTCGTGAAATTTTTTTGTTCCTTCTCTACTCTCTTATATCCAATCACTGAATTTCTATGACATCTTCCCTAGCCAGTTATTCCACTATAAGGGCTATAAAGTGACTGAGATGAAATGCATGGATGTTTTCTCTATTCCAAGCAACAGCTCCTGATGTCTTTATTGAGGGTTCTGACAGGAAATAATTGAAACCATAGTGTCAAGTATGACAAATATCAGTAAGAGGAACTACAATGTTCCTTGGAGGGGAACTATATTTAGCCACATCTTTTGTAATTGGTTAGTAGAAAACAAAACACAATCACTAAATGAAATATGGAAAAGAGGAATACAATTGTAAAATAAAATTGCTAATTCTATGAAAGGCAAAAAACACATTTTTTATTTTTTTCATGATTTCCATTGCATATATCTCAAAAAAGTGAGAAAATATTTCACCTTTTATATTGTGTCCGCTTCATATAATGAGTTATTCTGAGATAACTACTTTTGTTGGCTGGACAAACAGCATGTAAGATCTGACAGAACCAGAGCTGAACAAAAGTTCCTGGGATGCTGGAGAGGTGGAGAAGGAATTGCAGAGATAATGAGCAAAGAATAAGACATTTCAGTGAGACAAGAGGGATAAGAACAAGAAATCTGTTATACAGAAGAGTGACTATAGGTGAAAAGATACCTTCTCTTATTGAAAAATGCTAACAGAGTTGAGGTAAAGTGTTTTCAACAATAATGATTGGGATTTAATATCACATGAATAAGTCACTATATTTAGTTGAGGTAAAGTGTTTTCAACAATAATTATTGGGATTTAATATCACATGAATAAGTCACTATATTTAGTTGAGGTAAAGTGTTTTCAACAATAATTATTGGGATTTAATATCACATGAATAAGTCTCTATATTTAGTCATAGTGTAACCTTTTCTCAAATTATTTATAGACAGCAAGTACAACTTTGTCAAAAATAAGATGGTGATAAAAACAAATTCATGTAAAACTGTCAAAAATTCTACAGTAAGTGAAGGAATAGAATTATACATATCTTCATTTTGGGATTAAAACTATTCTTAAATTACATTAAACACTATCTCTAAAGCGGTTACAAAACCTTTTTACCAAGAGTCACTTTATTTGTGAAAATGTTTGGTATCTTAACAACAATATTACATTTATATAACCTTGTACTTCAACTGTGTAATTTGAGTAATTTGTTCTCATGTAAACCAAGTGTTTATTTTACACAAAGGAGCATGAAACAAAGTACACATACGTGCAATCAATTTGCATATGCACAAAGTCATATTTTTGGTGGCTGTCACAACACAAACAAGTACCAGAGAATTTTTAAACATATTCTTCACAACTTTTCCCATTCTGCTGCATAAAGCTGAATATATAAACATGCATTCTAGCTTCAGGAAGATTTTATGAATACAATGCAAAATTTTAAGAAATCATGTGAGAATTTTCCTCATGTAGGAAGTATAACTAAATTGGAAAGAATGAGATCATCTCTGGAAACTGACTTTTATAGTTTGTGTTATTGGACTGTGTGTGTGTGTGTTTCTTTTTCCTTTTTTTTTTTTGTTTGTTTTTGAGACAGGTTTCTTTGTAGCTTTGGAGCCTGTTCTGGAATTCACTCTTGTAGAACAGAATGGCCTTGAACTCACGGAGATCTGCCTGCCTCTGTCTTCCAAGTGAAGTGCTGGAATTGAAGGCATACACCACCACTGCCCCACTGTGTGTATGTTTCTTTACATAAATAAAAAAGGACACATTTTATACCATCAGTCTCAGTGATGTTAACTTTTAATTATTCTGTGGCTAAATACCTTTGTGTATTAATTCTACATGCACATTATCCTGGGTCCTAGAGGTTTTATCCTTGTTGTCTTAATTATATTAAGCAGAAAGAGGATTCTACAAAAAGAAAAGAGGAAAAGGAAGTATATTTGTCACCACCAACTGATACTGCTTTTCAAGGGTAGCAATTTCAAACTTCTATTATACAAAAGTATTAAGAACCTGCAGGAATGTGCCTTACTTTCTCTGAGGCTTGAATGGGGTTGGGGAAAAGGTGGAGGGGATGGGAGGAGAGGAGGGAGGGGGAACTGGAATTGGTACATAAAATGAAAAAAAAAAAGGATAGTTTGTTCTCTTTTAAAAAATAAATAAAAGAACCTACAGGAAAGCAAGTTCAATTGAGAAAAATTATGTTCAAAAATGTTTTGAGTAAATTACAAACTTAATGAAGCTTCAGTGAGATTTTCATTTTCTTCTGTCTTAATAGATACAACACCTGATAACAAGTATCTTATAGTACATCTTTATTATATTTGCCTTTTATTTCTTTATTTTTGTTTTGTATTTGGATAGCTTGCGGGAGCAATGGAGAGAGACAGAGCCTCACTCTGCAATCCGTGCTGGCCTTTCTTTCACATAAATCCTCTTGCTTCAGCCTTTCAAGTGTTGGGGTGACCAGTGTGAGTCACCATGCCTGGTTCTAATTTGACTTGCTAAAACTCTTGTAAAAATGTGGGTAAAAGAACAGATGACAGTCTATCCATGCACAGCTGTTAATACTATTTTTCTTATTGAGGAAATAAAATGAAGTTATTCGTGATTTTGTTTCAGCATCCCCTATCCAGTTTCTTTACTACGTGAAACATTAAGGATAACAGGACGGCAAAGCTCTATTATTGATATTTTTCAGTAAATGGAATTCCAGCAATGAGAAGGCTCAATAGCACCCCTCATCACACCAGCGGCTTTGTTCTGGTGGGCTTTTTGGAATGGCCCCGGCTGGAGATGGCTCTCCTTGTAGTTGTCTCCATCTTCTATATATTAACCCTCTCTGGTAATTCAGCTATTATCCTTTTGTCTCGCCTTGATCCTAAACTCCATACCCCCATGTATTTCTTCCTGGCCAACCTTTCCTTTTTAGATCTCTGCTATACTACTTCGACTGTCCCCCAGATGCTGATAAATATACAGAGCCATAAGAGAAGCATCAGCTATGTGGGCTGCATAGCGCAGCTGTTCATCTTCCTCGGCCTGGGGTCTACAGAATGTGTCCTGCTCTCCATCATGGCTTTTGATCGCTATGTGGCCATCTGCCAGCCTCTGCGTTACACAGCTGCCATGCACTCTACGCTGTGTCAACAGCTGGCAGCCGTAGCCTGGATAACTGGCTTCAGCAACTCGTTGGTGCAGACAGTTCTGACTTCTTTGTTGCCTCGTTGTGGGAAATACCAGATAGAGAATTTCTTCTGTGAGGTACCTGCCATGCTTCAGCTATCATGCGTTGACACCTGGGTCAATGAGGTAGAGATGTATGCTGCCGTGGTTGTCATCAAAGTTATCCCGCTTGGGTTAATTCTTTTCTCTTACATCAATATTGTCAGAGCAGTCATAAGGATACAGTCTTCTGACGGTCGGAAGAAGGCTTTCCACACTTGTGGGTCCCATCTTCTGGTGGTCATCATGTTCTATGGCTCTGCCATCAGTGGATATGCATACATGGCACCGAAGAGCAGCTCAGCTAAACTGAAAGGCAAGCTTTTGGCACTCTTCTATGGACTCATGACCCCAATGCTTAACCCTCTTATCTATACCTTGAGGAACAAGGATGTCAAGGCAGCAGTGAAGAAGATACTTGGAAGAGAACAAGAGCAAGGATGGAATTTAGCTTAGGTGAAAGCAGGCCCTATTGACATCCAGTCCTTGGTTCCAGAGCAGACTTGCTAACGGCCATTATTCTCCTAGTCAGAAAAACTATCCTGATTGTGACTACTTGTTATTGTTTATATGAAATAGTCAAATAGTTCAACAAAAGCAAAAAACGATTAAGGAAATATTAAGTTTTATTAGAAATGTTGTGTGGAAAATGAATAGGGGTAGCAACGTTTTCAAAGTGTAAAAACACATCTACTTGAAATTTAGTCATTCTGTGCCATACACAACCAAAATGAAATATAATTTCTACCTTCAATATTTTGCATGTTATAAAGATAAAGTTTTATATCTAATCTTCCTTTAATCAGTATTTTGAGTTACCTTCCTGATAAATGAGTGGCTGCGGTAATGATCTGCACTGCTGTGGCAGACAGTAATGTGAAAAGGGCCCCATAAAATCCTTCTGACTGTTACTTTCCTCAGTCTTCCTCACAATGTATTTTTATCTCATATTGCATTGTGTAATAGATTTGTTTCCATTGTGATTTCTCTGCATGTAAGGAACAGAGCATAACAGATTTTTTGGTTCCAGTTTTTGATAGTATAAATGAATTATCTATCATGCTAGGGAATTACCATTACACTATTTGTTATTCAATAATATCATGGTTTTTATTAACTTAAGTCATTATCTTGTTTCCAATTTTTGAAGGAAAGATTTCATTTATTTTATGATGAACTTTTGAAAATTTTTATTATTATTTTTCATATAATATATTTTGACCACATTCTTTGCCTTCCCCCAACTCCTTTATCATCTCTAACTCCCTACCCACCCAACTTCATGGGTTTTTTTTTTCCTCTCAAAAAGAAGAAGAAAAGTGAAGCAACAAAAAACAAAAAGAATGAAAATCAAAACAGATAAATCTAAAAGAAAAAATAAGACAAAAACAAAACAAAACAAAACAAAAAGTACACACACACACACACACACACACACACACACACCAACAGTATGGACTTTGTCTTGTGTTAAGTAACTTCTCCTAAGCATGAAGCCTGCCATACTCCTCTTCTCAGTACTGGATTTTTTTCTAGTTTGAACTTGTGACAGTCTTGTGCACGTTGTCATAGTCTCTGTTTGGCAGTCCTTCCTATTTGTAGCCCCTTAATTTTCTTCAGTTGTCTTATTGTTCTAGGTAAGACTTCAAGTCCTATATTGGATAGGTATGGAAATAGTAAACAATCTTGTCTTGTTTCTGAGGAAATGTTTTGAGTTTCTCTCCATTTAGGTTGATGCTGGCTATGGGCTTACTATAAATTGTCTTTATTGTATTGAAGCATATCCCTTGTATCCCTAAGCTCTCCATGACTTTTACCAAAAAAGGATGTTGAATTTTGGCAAAGGCCTTTTCAGCATCCAATGAGATGATCACATGATTTTTGTCTTTTAGTCTGTTTGTGTGGTGGATTATGTCTATTGATTTTTTTTTTTTTTGTTTTTTCGAGACAGGGTTTCTCTGTGGCTTTGGAGCCTGTCCTGGCACTAGCTCTTGTAGACCAGGCTGGCCTCGAACTCACAGAGATCCGCTTGTCTCTGCCTCCCGAGTGCTGGGATTAAAGGCGTGCGCCACCACCTCCCGGCTATGTCTATTGATTTATGCATGCTGAATCATGCTTGCATCACTGGGATGAAGCCAACTTGATTATATTGGATAAGCCTTTAATATGTTTTTTAATGTTTTTTATTTTTCTCAGATCTCTCATGGTGTTGATTGATTATAGCTTTGCCAGTTTAAGAGCAGCAAGCATGCCAGCTCCTCCTACAAGGCTTCAGCTGTCTTCTCAGTTCTCTTCATTAGTAAAAATCAGGCCGCTGGCCTCAATGGAGAGCAACTTCTAGGTCTCTAGCTGACAAAGGCACAGTTTACCTTGCTACCAGACTCTAAAAAGAGAATAATCTCACAAAACAGGTTGCAAAGTAACTTTTTGCTATTCCTTTGTGAGATATTTTGTTCATAGATTTGTTGTCTATTTATAGCTGTGGCAATGAGAACATTTTCTGTAGATTTAAATGCAGTATTTGCTGCATAAGAGTTTTCTTGCTTTTCCCCCCACTTACGCCCTCTTTTATTACTCTTTAAGCTATTCCCAAATAACTCTTTTTGTAGATCATTTGTAGTGTCCATGAACTGATGTTACTACTCATGAGAAAACATACTCTCACAGAGAATAGTACAGTTGATGGTAAAAGAATGATCCCCTGTCAACACTAGCACCCGTCAACAGGATCTAGCATCTACCTGCAAACTATAGAGGCACAACAGCAACGCAAATGTTATGAGAGTAACCAGCCACTGTTTCAAATTGGATTACGGAATCACACCTAAAGGAACACAGAAATAAAATGACTCCCAATGGCAAATATAAAAAAAGAAAATTCCACCCACCAAGTGCCTGTCTTCTACAGAAATTTTTATGTAGTCTGTCAACAGGCAATTTTGTGAGATTGTCTCTATGTAAATTTGACTATTAAAACAAAGAATGAATGATATCACCCTAAGGCCTCCTGGTATGTGTGTGTGGGGGGGATGGAGCAAGGTCCCTCCCTTGTCTGTGCAGAAGTCACACTGCTGAGGTGTTTTGGGAAGGAATTCCATTTTGAAGGGAAAAGTCATGGCTTCACAAGGTTTTTACAGATATGACGGTGATTTTTCTGAAAGACAAGTGTTAAATCGGGTTGCTCCATGTGGACATGGACGTATACACTTCCCGAGGATCTGCCTGTTGGTCTGTCGTCTGCACATTCACTGTATATTGTGGGCTCCAACAGACAATTCCAGCTCTAGGGAATCCAATAGCGTTCTTACTTCTTTGGTATCTGTATGCTTTGTGCACAAAGACACATACATGCATTAATAAAGTATGATAAGTATTTTAAATGGTTTTATCAAAAACTAGAGAAAGTCATAAGCAAAGCCACCGAAAATGTCAAGTATTTGTGACTGAGCCCTCCATTTTGGTCTGCTGATCTATCATGCTTTCTGAATGCTGAATACTTCACACTGGCTCGATTCCTACATCTTTGTAGTAATTTTAATCAGAAATGAAAGTGTTGTAATTTTATTTGAAAACTGTTTATCTATTGAGATCTTGGTCCATTACCTTCCCTTTGATTTTACTTAATAATGTTGGCTGTGTAGCAACGTCTGACTTCTTGGAATCAGATAGAAGCAGTGAATAGTGGGTAAACTCTATTGTAAATGTAATAAAAATACCCACTAGTTAGCAATCTAACTTTAAACAGGACAGTTCCACAAAAAATTACTTCAAGCAATTTCAGTAATCAAGCTTAATTTTTAATGTTATTAATGGGTTGTTTAATTTGATATTTGAGTGTTAATAAGACAAATTAAAGATAATTGGTGTAACTTTTAAATTTAGATTTAATGGCTTTAAGAATCACATTTTCTTCTTATTTTGCCCATTTTGAAATTTTATAAGTTCTTTTACCTCTGCTTAGACTAGTTAAAGAAATCCAAAAGAACACGCATTTTACATTATTTAAACATTTAAAGAATTTTACAAACTAACTAGAGAAGGTTAAATCTGAGAACCGAGGAATTCATAATCATTTTTTAGTTCCACAAATTTCTTGTCTAGTTTTGCCTGGAAGGGACTGGATTTCTAAGATCATGTTATTAAAAAAAAATCACCTAATAATCTGAATACAGAAATCACAGTTCAGAAATCACCATCCAATGTACATACCTTGATATGTAAAATTAAAATTTTTGTGAAAATCTCATTTAGCAAAAACACAGAATGAAAAAAAAAAAAAAACAAACTCCACTAGGAGACCCAATGGAGCAGACCAGGGAGGGAAAACAAAAAAAAAAAAAAAACACAGGTGTATGGCTTAGACTAGGGCATTACCAGGAGACCTTGGTCCAAGGATATAGAAACTATGTCTCACAGGGTTCACATGAACACACTAATAAAGAATGCCTCAAAGACTTTTAGCTGGCATTAAACACACTTTAGACAAAAGAGTTTGATCAATAGAAATCTTTACTTTAATAATATAGAGCCAGAATTCTTAATAAAAACGTGACTATAAAAAGAGAAAAATGATTGCAGGAGTCTTGACAACAGCAACTGTTTTCAGTTTATTAGATAATGTGATTATCAACATAGGACATCTCTGGGTACAATAACTAGGGGAGTGGTTTTATTGCTGGTAGCTCTCCAGAGAGGCCTGCGAGTTTGGTTTTGGATAATCTGTGTCAGGGTGACCCTGGGTAATGCCTCCGGAGAAGCACCTCCATATCACTGAAAACAGATCCATATCTCTACTTCGTAAGAATTTTCTCTCTGGGGCTGTTATCTTTTCTCACTAGCCTTTTCAAAGCCCCCTTCACATCTTTGTTTCTTAAAGTGTAAATGAGGGGGTTTAGAGTAGGAATAACCACAGTGTACAAAAGGGTGATGAATTTCCCCTGACTATGTGCATACGAGCTATTAGGCTGGATATAGACGGCAGTGATTGTGCCATAAAATAGCACTACTACCAGCAGGTGCGATCCACAGGTTCCAAGAGCTTTACCCCAGGTTAGAGCTGACTTTAACCTCATCAGTACTTGGGCAATGTACCCATATGATACCAAGATGAGTGTCAGGGGAAGGAGGAGTAGCACCAAGGAAGCCATGAATAGCTGCACTTCGTTGGCATGAGTGTCTACACAGGCCAACTTGATCATGGCAGGAACTTCACAGATGAAGTGATAAATCCTGTGGTTCCCACAGCGAGGCAGGCGGAGGGTGACGGTGCCTTGAATCAGCGTGTTGCCCACTCCACTCAGCCATGCTATTCCTGCAAGAGCCTGGCAGAGCCGTGGGTGCATAACTGTGGCGTAATGGAGAGGCCGGCAAACAGCAGCATAGCGATCAAATGCCATAACTGCGAGGAGGACACACTCAGTGGACCCCAGAGCCAGAGACACATAGAGTTGAATAGC